TGATAGTACTAGGCTATGTTACTGAGCAACTGGTAGTACTAAGCTATTGTTACTGGGCCACTGATAGTACTAGGTTATGTTACTGAGCCACTGGTAGTACTAAGCTATTGTTATTGGGCCACTGATAGTACTAGGCTATGTTACTGAGCCACAGGTAGTACTAAGCTATTGTTACTGGGCCACTGATAGTACTAGGCTATGTTACTGAGCCACTGGTAGTACTAAGCTATTGTTACTGGGCCACTGATAGTACTAGGCTATGTTACTGAGCCACTGGTAGTCCTGGTATTGTCTTGGTAATTCCGCTGAGGCAAAAGGAATGCCGGGTTTAGCTATAACCATGAAATTATGAATATATTTTTTTATTAGAAATTTTTACCTTTGTTAGCTGTTGGCAGCAGTATAATTGTTAGCCTTTGTTAGCTGCTGCGAGCAGTGGATTATTATTAACATGATAGCCTTTGTTAGCTGTTCGTAGCAGCTAACATTTACCTCTGGAGGCGCCTTTGTTATGTTATAAGCAGTAATAGCCACTAACAACTTCTTGAAAGAATTAACTAATAATAGGCGAATCGGGTGCAAAATCTGTGTTTAATCCGGGTTAAGAATGAGGTCGATTGTGAAAGAGATTTATGAGCCATTTAAAGATTAGATCATCTGATAGATTTAGATTTATTCACTCATTGATTGAAGTGGTAAATATTATGTTGTATTCGTTACGCCTAGAAAATGTGGAAAGTACGAATTCTGAAGTGGTGTATAACATTCGTTGTTTTAATTGGAATACCAACTCTTCTTGGACACCTGATGTCACTCTGCGATAACGTTTGTCATTCGACACTCCTTTCGGGGTTCACATATATTTTCAACCTGCAAAAAAAAACCTCTCCTAAATGACAGGAATAAAGGCACAGGGAGAAGAATGAGCCGCAAATAGACGAGGTACGGGTCCGGACACGGTGCAGACACGAGTCGTTTCTTCTATTTTCTACTGTATCCATTATCCCGCACCGTACAACTAACCGGACACCACACTTCGTCTAAAGCTGAAGACACATACATGCGGGTGCGATGTCTGCGTTGCGGTAAACCGGTGCGATTATGTGGTATCGTTGCGGCACGCACGCACGCACACGCACGGTTCGCTTTTGCGTTAAATTTGGAGTTATTGCTGCTGTACATGGCATGTTGACGGCTTCAACTCTGTAATAATGGGGTTTCCCCACAATGGCGTCTGAAAATAATGGAAATCACCTGCGGCACAGCTACGTTTCACCGGAGACCCGAGACTTTTGGTCCGGTGAAACGCAGCGAGGAAATATAGCAAGGCACCGCAACAGCATGTATGTGTCATGTCAAATGCATGCCCTTGTTTGTTTCGTTCCGGTGAAACGCTGCGGTGAAATGAACGCATCGCATCGCCGCACCGGACCACGAACCGCGTGTATGTGTCTTTAGCTTAATCGCCATACACGTGTAATCTATGTTGTCGGGTTTCTACCACTTTTGCATGTTGTCCACCGCTCTACCGGCAGGATACCCAATTCTACCGATTTTTGGGGTTTTTTTTCTTTTACCAAATTTTCACGGGGCCTAACGTTTTCAAATTCTCGGTTTGTCGGTTGTCGGTAACACGCGTTAATCCCATCACGTAATAATTTTATCATTGCCTGATTAATTAATCCCCCAATTAAGATGGTAATTTGATCTATTTTCACCCGATAATGTGTATTTTAAAGGGATACTACGTCTTAGAATAAACATAAAATTTAAAGATTTTAAACTTGGCCAATAAGAGCCAGTAGATATACCTGGTGTCATAAATAACATAACAAGATCCTTATATAATCCGATAAATCCAAAAAACTTAGTAATTATCCATAAATATGCAATTAACTTTTGAAAAACGCTTAATATTATGATTAAGCGTTTTTCAATAATGACTTAGTTTTCCAATTTTCCAATTTTATAGATTTTACAGGGATTCTGTTGTAACTTTATGACACCAGGTCAGTTCACTGATGAATATATACTCATAATGACCATTCTTGATGTTCATTCTAAAACGTAGTATCACTTTAAGTTATTTTCT